CATTTTGTCTGAATAACATCTTTATATCTTCATGAAGTCTTCATAATGACAAGATAAAACCTCATGCTGCCTGGGAGTCAAATTACCAAAGTGCTTCTGAAAGGGAACATTATTTTATTAAATGGGGCCTTTTCTCTCCACAATTATCAGAGATAGAAATACCAGGTGATTTGAAACTAAAATGTGTCAAGTAAGTTCAAATAATCTTAAAAATACATATACACACATTTACAGTCATCTTGTTTGTTCATTTTGGAAAGACTCCCTGAGGCTTAAATATTAAAGGGAATTAGCAATTGTGTCAGCTGTAGTTGTCTGAGCTAGATGTCCTATGATAAAACAGTGGTGCAGTTAATGTTCATACAGCTGTGGAACCATAGCTATCCATTACTACACAAAGACAGATGGGTAAGTTTTGACTCATAAAAACTATATGAAAGAAACTAATGGGATACTAATCTCCTGGTACCACATGGACAAAGAGAAAGAATGAATATGATATTTAAGGACTACAAAATTTGTTTCCTCTGCACATGCCTTGCAAAATGTGGTAAATAAGTCACCAGTTTCATCATTGTTTGAGTTTTGTGACCATCACCATGACAGAACGAAAAGAACCATGTCTTGGTACTCTGGGACAACTAAAGCATGTACTTGTCTGAGACACCAAACACCTGTCTGCAGATATAAGCTTCTGGGAAGTGGTATTTCATCAGCTACTCATTGATGACAATTATGTGATATTTACAATTCCAAAACAATGCAGACAGAACTCTCTCTGTATAAAACTTTAACAAGCAGCATGTTTTGTTGGAAGTGTCATAAAACTTTCATCAAAGTTCAAAATATTCCCAAGAAAACAGCTCTGTCTTTGACAAGAAGATCAGAAATTTGCAGTTTAGATCAAACACTGGGAAGAGGAAGAGAAATGTCGTCTGTTATAATTATTAGGATACAATAATTATACTTTTACAAGCTCAGAAAATTTTTAAAAAGCAGCTCAGTAAACATTGTAAAATCCAGTATTAAGATTAGCTTTTATACTTTGCCTTATAAGGAAGCTAAACAAAGAGTAGCTAAAAGCAAAACAATAATAGTAAGAAAGAAAATGTTAATTTTCTTTTGGGTATTGTTATTCAGTGAAGACCATAGTCCCTGGGGGTGGGGGGCAGAATATTTGTTTACTTCGCTGTGGAACAGTACTTTCTTCCAAGTAGGTAAAATTCCGTTACTTCTTTCCCATAAATGATACTATAGATAACCTTGTAGAAGCAGGAGGTCCTGAGTTCACTGGACTTTATAGCAGTTCTTAATTGTTAGCTTGTGAGCAGTTGGCTCTAAACTGAAGTATGCAGCTTCTCTATGCAATGGTTGCATGAATAATTGAATAAATGGCCCTTTGTGACCTTTAGGGCATTAAGAATTAAAATAAATCAAGGCCCAAATAAGAGCTAAGTATTTTCATACAAGAAAAGTCAGGATGTAATTAAAGAAAGAGTAAAAAAGCCAAACAACAGAACACAAGGAAAAAAAATAAATTACAGGTTTAGATACATAATATGGGAACAGACAATACAAAAGCCTATATTATTTAATCAATAAACATATGATTATACATGTTCCTTTCAGTTACTTCACACAGATTAATGATGAGCAGATTCTGAGATTCATGGTGAAATCACAACAGGGCTTTTGGTTTTGCTTCATTTTTCTGTGGGTAGCTGCAGCCGAGGCCATAAGCAGCCTTTGCTGCTCTCTGTCATATATACCTGGCCTTGTTTTCCACACTTCGTGTTGCCTTCCATAGCATATAACAGGGCTCTCGCTTGTTCCTGTCTGTTCCTGAGTCTACGGCTATCATCCCTGACATGCTGTTAAAGTTTTAGCCTGTTCTGCATCAGTTCTCAATTCCTGAATTTTTATATGGTTTGTATTAGCCTGACAATGGATTAAAATAGAAATGACCTTGACAGTTGCCCTCATTTCAGATACACCCCTGCTGCTTCTTTCTCTGGATAGATCAGCTTATCAGAAGTTGTAGTGTGGTGGGCGTCAGTCTCCTCTCCCAAGTAGCAAGCAATAGAACAAGAGGTAATGCCCTCAAGCTGTGCCAGGCCAGGTTTAGACTGGATATTAGGAAAAATTTCTTCACCAAGAGGGTGATCAGGTATTGGAACAGGCTTCCCAGTGAAGTGATGGAATCACCATCCCTGGAAGTGTTCAAAAATGTGTAGATGATGCCCTCAGTTACGTGGTTTAGCGGTGGACTTGGCAGTCCTGGGATAATTGTTGGACTTGATGATCTTAAAGGTCTTTTCCAGCCTACCTGATTCTGTGATTCTATATGCCATGGTTAGCCCAACCTCCTTAACAGCAGATCCCCAGCCCTTTCCTTGAGTATATCCTTCAACCTAAGCCAAGCAGTATTGACAGCACCTCCCTTCCATGTTAAAAGAAAATACAGACCTGCTATTAGGCTTAAATGAACAGCAGTACCTCTAGATTTGGCTCCATTCACCTTTAGTTTTTGGTCACTTTAAACTCCTAACTATCCAGGAATGATTCTTTGGGCAGTCCTTAGTTCTTTAATCTGAGAGACATGAAGGGAGCATTTCATTCTAGTAACACGGTGGTATACAGTACTGTTCATTTGCAAATGTGTCCCTGAAAACTCCTAAATCCCTTCTAAATTCTATTTTTAGGTACCCACCTGTTCAAACCAGGCTGCTTCTGAGCATGTCTGAAAATCAAGGATCTTTGCTGTCAGAAGTGAAAGCATCGATAAGGTTAGATAATTCCAAGAATTACGTGTAGCAGTTAGCAAGATAAATCTTTGAGACCTACCTTCCTAAATATGGGAATGAGGTGGAACTAGGACAGGCTTAAATTCAGTATAAGGGTGGTGAGACAGGTTGACCAGATAAGCTCTGGATGCCCCATTCCTGGCAGTGTTCAAGGCCAGGTATAGGGGAAGGTGTCCCTGCTTATGGAAGGGGGAATGGAACTAGATGGTCTTTAAGGTCCCTTCTAACCCAAACAATTCTATGATTCTATTACTCTATTAATTCATTTTATGCCTCCTCATATGTGCATTGACCAGTGTGTATGGTTTCAAACTCATTAGAGCTTTCTGCTACAAGACATACTGCTCGTCTCATTTATGTCCCAGATATCACAATTTGTACAAGGTGGTGTACTGTGCTGGCTCTGACCTCTGGACCTGAGTATTTTCTCAGTATTTGCTAAATAGGAACTAAAACAGCATCTAAATTTTGGTTTCAGATACCACTCCTGCCCTCCAGTTTGCCTTTATTAGCTGCATCTATCTATTCTAGCAATTCTGAAGAGCCATGCATCACATATTCAAAATTACTTTCCAGCCCAAATGTTTAGGTAGCAAAATAATAAAATGCTGGCTGAGCTGCAGAGTGACCAAAGCATCTCTTCGCTTCCTGCTCAGAATCGGGAAGGCGGAGTTAGAGGTAGGTACAACCACAAGCTCCCCAATTTCACCTCTTGCTCCCACCTTCAGAACGGGAACTGCAGGATGGATGCTTTAAGAGGGGGCAGGGTTTTTCATCTTCAAATCATTGCACTTCATCATTGTTCCAGCCCAAGTGCTGGGAACATTTTTCAGCCACTTGAATGAAAAACTGTCTGGTAAATAGATACAGATATTCCACAGTACACCTTTTGTTAGCCTGCCTCTTCATTCTTCCCTTGCACTTCTCTTCCTCTGTTGGGACTGCATTTTCAAAAGTTCATTCCTTCTCCCTTGTGCGTATGTCACAGGCCTGTTTATTCAGTATGTATTTATGCAGATAATTATGTTCAAAATTACGTAGATAGTTATGGTCTGGGTTAACGGAAACAGGCAAGTAGGGTAAATCATTTCATTATTATATACCTTCACTGCAGAAATTAAAGTAACTGAAGTTTTCTGAATATTGCTGAAGACTTGAAAAACACAAGCAGAACCCAGATAGCAACAGTGCAAGATTTTCAATAAAAATAGTAGGGGTCATTGACTTAAAGACTGCTGTCGAAAACTACTTGTTAAATTAAGAGAGAGAGAAGTGAAAATGGATTAATTTAATTATGCACTTGGGTATATAAAATAAGTCACTGAATGCTCATTACGAAGAAGTGAAGTTATGCCAGTTAAAAGTTTATCTCTCCTTCCAGAGATCTCCGTGCTTTCACACAACAAAGACATTGCCACAGATGTTGGAAATATAGCTGGCCTGTTAATGAAAATAAGGTATTCTTGAGTAAATTACTCAAAGATTAACAGAAAAATCTTGAATAAATTATTCACAGAACATTATTTAATAATCTAGAGAGCTGGTCAAATAATGGAAATATTTATTTCAGATAATTTAGTCAGAGAATAATGTCAAAACCCTTTGGCTAGTCCATTAGGAATGAATAATTTGACAAGTTATTTATTATAGCTCATTTCTGTATTAAAACAAAATCCATCAGGAAGGCAGCTAAGCAGAAAAATACATAATTGACAATAAAGTGTCGTCATCCTGATGATGAAAATCTTTTATCGTGCATACAAACGTGCATGTTTAAGGGTTATTTTGTATGGTGCTTACTTATTGTTGTGGTTTAAACCCAGCTGGTAACACAGAACCGCGAAGCCGCTTACTCACTCCCCCCTTACTTTCTCACCTCCCAGAGAGGATTAGGAGAATCAAAAGAATGTAACTCCCATGGGCTAAGATAAGAACAGTCCAGTAACTAAGGTATAACACAAACCACTACTGCTGCCACCAATAATAATAATGAAAAGGGAAACACCAAGGGAAGAGAATACACCCGCTCACCACAAGCCGACCAATACCCAGCCTGACCTGAGCAGCGATCTAGCCCTTCGGGGTAACTGCCCCCAGTTTACATCCTGGGCATGACGTGCTGTGGTATGGAATACATCCTTGGCTAGTTTGGGACAGGTGTCCTGTCTCTGCCTCCTCCCGGCTTCCCCTTCTCCCCAGCAGAGCATGAGACTCAGAAAGTCCTTGGTCAGAGTAAAAAATACTTAGCAACAACTGAAAACATGGGTGTTATTAGCACTGTTCCCAGGCTGAAAGTTAAAACCACAGCACTGCACCAGCTAGAAGGAGAAAAATGACTGGTGCTGCTGAACCCAGGACAGAAACATGTTAAATATGTTTTTGGGTTCATTTGCTCCTTTCTTCCATATTGCTGGGACCTCAGATAGCACAGTCTCCTTCCCTGGAGACATTCAAAACCCGCCTGGACACATTCCTGTGTAACATTATCTACGTGTTGCTGCTCCGGCAGGGGTATTGGACTAGATGATCTTTTGAGGTCCCTTCCAATCTCTAACATACTGTGATACTGTGATACTGTGATATCCTTGAATATCTCCTGCTTGGTTGCTTGTTGTGTATTATCTGCAAGTTTTAGGTTGAGGCCTTTCATTATGGTTCCTGTGTTTCTTATAATATGTTAAGAAGTGTTTGATAAGCCATAATGAACTTGTGGGCATAGTAAACACTCTCTTGCAGCCAGTTTAACTTGAAAAGAAAATTATATTTAGAAAATGAATACAGATATTTTCCTATTAAAATAATAGCACTCAAGATTTTCTAAAGATCTTTGGTTTATTTCCCACTTGTGACTAAACCACAATGTAGATTAAATCGTGTACGCTGCAGTCACAGCAGTGTGGATATTACTTTATTTGATGTCAAATAGCTAGAACTTTAAGCTTCCTGAAGAAAAAAATACACCTTTGTGTAAGAGATGCGCATAAAACAAACAGATTAATAACAGAAAAGGTGTTGTTGAAAACAGGAAAGGCCAAAGAGCTCTCTAAAAAGTGGGAAAAGTGTTAAGTGCTAGATGCTAGTTCTTGAACTAGGGGCAGAGAGAAACTCATAAAAAAAAACAATTCTAGCTTTACTGGAATGAGAATCTGAGTAAAATGTACTCTAAAAAACAACTTTATGATCAAGAGCACCTATGTGTGAAGTAATGAATGTGGTGAACATTAGAATTTTTGGCTTTGCACAGTTTGCCCTAGATCCTAGGATAACAATTTTGGTAGCAGTAGACTGCAGTACCACAATAGGACTATCACTGATCTTGCTGTGTAGCTTACTTTAGTAATTTGATTAATAGCTGAGCCTTGCAAACTCTCCTGTTCAACCTTTGAGAAAACACAAACTTCTAAAGTTTTGATGGAAGTTTGCCTTGTGGTTTTGTTTTTTTTTTTTTTGTAATCTACCTGCATCAGTGCCCACTTGCTTTTAAATCACATACTCAAAGAAAAGATTCAAAAGTCTCTTGTAATGTTTATGAACACTATTGAGTATTTCTTTGAGTCTCTTTAAGAATCTCTTCAAGAATCTCTTCTGTGCATATTTTTAGACCACGTCATAAGAACACTGTATTCTGTCTTGTCTATGCAATAGTGTCATGAGGAATTATTTCATCTTCATCTAAAAGATAAGTAGTAGTGGTGGATATTTTTATTTAAACATTTTCATTTGGGAGATGAATATTCTTTGAGACGATGTCTGTGACAACATATCAGTTTTGAGTGATAAACTTTTATGATGCAATATTGTGTTAAAATGAAAGCCACTGACTACTTTCCTTTTCTCACAAAAGTGAGAAATGGTCTTGGCATGAAGCTAGACTGGTGGAGACCCAAGTCCAATTATCCATATCTAAATACCTTCCTCAGGTTTCCCAACTCCCAGACAAATATATCAGCTTTTTGCTGTTCTGGAATAGTGGTGTTGCTTTGCTCCCTTTTGCTTTGTTTCCATTTTCTTCTAAAAATATGTTGGGTTGTTTTACTGATGCATTGAGAGGAATAGAGGGAAACAACAGTCACTGGTATGAAGATGGAAAGCATGCTTATTTGTACATCTGTAGTTAAGTGTGTAGAAGTGTAACAATACATACAGACACCTGTAGTAAATGGAAAAATACCTTCTTTTGTTTTCACACAGCTTTTAGGTCTTTATTGGAGAATGAAATAAAAAAAGAAAAATGGAGAAGTAGCAGTAACAATAACAAAAAGCTAAAACCTCAAATAGTTCCTCTTCTATAATCCTCGAAGAGCTTCAAACTGAATTTATTTGGTAGCCTTAGTTCACTTTTAAATTCTAAAACAGTAAAGACTTTACTAAAAGGCACTATGATTCATTTTGTGTTAATATATCTGGGTGGTGTGATTTGTTACAGCATGTCACAATATGAATTTTCCCTTCTGGTTTATTTAATATTGTAGGGTACACTAATGTCCCATCACTACAAGTCAGACACTGAGTTGATGGATCATGTCTAAAGAAAAGCAATGAAGCTGGCGAAGGGCCTAGTGCAGAAGTCTTAAAAGAAGTGGCTGAGGGAACTGGGTTTGTTTAGCCTGGAGAAAAGGAGGCTGAGGAGACACCTTGTCACTCTACAGTTATTTGAAAGGCGCTTGAGCAAGGGGGTGGTTGGTCTCTTCTCCCAAGTAACAAGGAATGGGACAAGAGGAAGTGGTCTCAAGCTGCACCAGGGGATGTTTAGATTGTATATTAGAAAATATTTATGCATTGAAAGGGTTTGCCAAGCATTGGAAGAGGCTGCCCAGGGAACTGGTTGAGTCACCATCCCTGGAGGTATTTAAAAGAGATGTATACGTGGTATATAGTTTAGTGGTGGATTTGGCAGTTCTGAGTTTATGGTTTGACTCTAATCTTAAAGGTATTTTCCATCCTAAACAATTCTATGATTCTGTATTAATTATGAAGATATGGATTAATGCTGAAACATGATTGAATTTTGCTTTTTAAAGATTGACTTGACTACTGTAGGCAATGAGTAGATACAGCTAACAGTATTTTTCATTCAATAGCAAAATGCTTTTAAAAAAGGATGAAATTATTGTATTCTGTAGCAGCATATAGGCACCATGAGTCTAAGCAGACACACCATGTCAGTTTTGATTTTGCTATTCTTCATTATTTTCCAGTATTAAAGTCAAGAGCTTATTGCTGATGAAAGTGAGCATCAAACAGTGAAATGTCAGGTTTCTAAACTGCTACCTTCTGATGAAGTTTCCTCTCTTTTTGTCTGTCTTGAAGAAAAGAGAGTAAGTGGGTAGAAGGCTGTTGTGCTGTCAGTTATAAGGAGGAGCCTGAGCCCCATGCAGGGTCTCTGCTAGTTTGCCACTATTAGGATGCTTTTGCTAGTCAGGTAAGGGAGGCAGGCTTGACATCAGGGAATCAGAGACTTTAATAAAATCAAAGATTAATAAAACTTTGTAAGATATTTGGATGTCTGGCTCTTTAGGGGCAAGATAAGTGGCCAGCACCTGGTAGACAACAAGTGAGAAGGTTTAGGATGATGAAGGTGATAGAAGTAAAGAATGCATCTGCCTGTTAAATTGCTGTCGGACCTCTGCAATATCTTGCTTCCTAATTACTAACAGATTTGTTATTTTCTCTACGCACAGGCTGCAGTAAAGAATCCCAATGTAAATTTGCGGGACCCTTGTTAATGTGTGTTAAGACGAGGAAGGCTGTACTTGGGTGAAGTACCTGTTTCCTAGGTGTTGAAAATCTGCCTTCTATTGTGAATATATTTGTGTCGCCTAGGAAGAAAAGTAAGGATTTTCCTCTACTGGAAAATCTTCTGAATAATCAGAACAATATACTTACAGTGTGTATATATATATATATATATATATCTCAAAGGTTGATGTTGAAATTCATTTACAGATGAATGATATTTTACACAGTTGACAATGTCAGGCTGATCAGTCTCACAGAAATGTCTGTCAGGAGTGATCAGTTACTGAAAAAAAATGTATTTGCTCTTACGTGATGGTGATTTCTGGAAATAAGTGTAAGATGTATATAGAGGTGTGAGCTTAGAACATAAACCCAAGACTTCCATGTTGGTTAAATGTAATGTTCGTGTAATGATTCAATATTACATTATTTTGTGGCTTGAGATGTGTCATCTATGCCTACAACAATGCTTAAAACTGCCCACCCCTGCCAAATTTCCCATCTGTGCAGTTGGCTGGATATTAAGGGTGAGGGGGGAACAGAAAGGTAATAATATCTCATTTTCCACATGAGCCAAAACAAAAGAGAAGAATAAGCACACATGCACACTCTTCTTACAGCTTTGTTTTCTTAGAAAACTTAGCTATAGGCCACAGTCTTGCTTGCCTGGTTAGCAAGTTCATTTTCATTTTTGTTATTTTGATTTGTATTCTCCTAAGTGTATGCACTTTCTGTACTCTAGCAACTGATGCTGAATCTTAGATAATCTGCTGCTGCTCTGCCTGGAGTGCAGTCCATTATAACCGAAGCTTGAATAATCAATGACTTTCATAAATTCTTGTGTGTGTATTGAAGTGGTAGATATTAATCAGAAAGTGATTTCTTATGAGTCAGATAACACTAGTTAGTATTCTGACGATCATTTCATGTTCCATGTATAACTTCATATCAAAAGAGCAAACAGCCATCTTAAGAGCAGAAGAGTTCTTGTTATAAAAAAAGCCCACACCAACAAACAAACAAAAACCAAACCAGAAAATAAGAGATTTAGGGCTTAGAAAGTTATTGTGAATTATTTCACAATATTTCATTATTATTTCATGAAAGCTAATAACATAATTATATGTAGCTAATAGATAACTTTTCATAACCTTTCAACAATTCCATTTATATTTAAATTGGAACATATATGCAAGTTTGATTAGGTTGGCTTCTCCTCTGTTAGTCAGTATCGGATCATAATTTCCTTCAAGATAATATCCTGTCCACATTTGAATTTCATCCAACCTCTTGTTTGCTTATAACCTTTATGGTTTTTTTCCATTCAAAAATTTTGTGTTTCAGTCTGACTATCTGCAAGACAGGCACATTTAACACTTCTGAAAATTCTTGATAGCGCTGGATTTATCACAGTGACAGACTGTCTTTTCAGTAAGCTATGAATGCAATCATTACATTATTCTTGAGAGTTATATTTTAAGTACGGATTTTCC